CGGGACAGTGTCGAAGGCTTTGCACTGTCAAAAGCAACAGCCCAGGGCAAGCATCGGGGCCGGGAACTACCGTTGGTGACGACAGACGCGCCACAATGGCTGGGTGGCAGGAGACTGGCTGGCAGCGAGGCGGGAGGCGGTTCCTGGCCTGCTGGGCAGCAGTCAGCACAGCTGCCGGAGGCCTCTGCCCACCGCCCAGGCCGCCTTCCCCATGGAGCTGATGTCACCTGCCGCTGCGCTGGGCCCTGAGGCCGCCCCCCTCCACCCGGGCTGGGCCCTCCTCGACTCTGCCGAGCACCCACCCAGAAGGACTCAGGATGGCTTCTGCTTCCCCACAGAGACGCCGCTTATTAGAAGGCTCGAACACGTGAAAACAGGCGGTGAGTAACTTTCTGTTCTGCTGGAAGCCCCGAGGTTTACACGATGGGAGAGCAGCCGGCTGAACCTCGTCCTGCCCAAACGCCAGCTCGTCCTTCACGTGGGTAACGAGTAGGTGATGACCTGGGAAGGAGAGGAGTTTGGGCAGTGGGAGTGTGACAGCTGGTGCCATGTCTGTGCGGTGTGGTTCTTCAGCGTGTAGAAAGGCTCAGGTCTTAAAATCCTGGCTTTTGCACCTCTACCAGTGGGAGGTTAATCCCCAGCACAAGTAAAATACGCTGCTAACCTGCCTTAAAATCGGAGGGTGGAGCTGTGCTCCCAGCTTCCCCAAAAGAGCAAGTGCCTGTAAGCAGTGGATGTGCTGGTTTTGGCTGGGGCAGAGTGCCTTGTCCTCCCTCGTGTCAGGAGGTCGTCTCTGCCGTGTCTGTGCCGTTCTTATGTGGAATGTGCAGGCCGGAACTGTTGGCTAGGCCGGAGGGTTGTGCAACCCGCCCGTGAAACGATCAGCAGTCTCTCACGGCTGAATTTCCTGTTGAAGTTTGAAGAACAAGGTGCCGTGGAGTGAAATGAGATGTTTTCTCATGCTCTTCATTTGTTCTGTTCCATTGCAGGAGAGTCTCCCCCGCAACAGTGGCCAGTCCTTACGCATAAAGACAGAAGCACTGCTCCACCGGTCAGGAGCCTGTATGATGGCTTGCCCGGTCCTAGACTTGGATCAAGGGTTCTGACCTCAGGAAGCCCAGTAAGTGGTGTAGGTATTGGCCTGTTCTTAGCAGAAGGTGTGAGGCAGCGTACTGCTTCAGTGAATTCTTCAGCTCGGTTGTGTAAACTGCTGTAGCAAAATGACTGGGGAGTCTTCAGCTCGTGCTGCTGCTCAGCCTGGGTGTTTGGTGGGACTGTTCCGTGTGAGAGCTGCGGCCGTGGAGCTGTCTCCTGTCATTACTGCTCTTCCCTGCTGGAGACAATCAGAAATGCAGTTCGTGCCTTTGCTCTGCTTTGTCCCTGGCAATGGAGACTCGTTGCAGCTTTTCACCGTCTTGTGAGTGTACTGGGCTGATTGCCGGAGGGGTCCAAGCAGGAGTTCTCTTTTCTGTTAGCGGGCAATAGAGGCACTTTCCTGACACAGAAGGCATTTTGTGCTGATTAAATTATCTAACTTAAGGCAAACAGTTAATGTTCTTGCTTGATGCTGAAGTTCCCTGGAATGACCTCCTCTGCTCTGAGAAGTGTACCTGTAAGAGTGATTTGTTACTGTCTGCATTTTCATCTAGGCCAGCTCTTCTCTGACACGGAGCCCAGTGCTTGGAGCTGCGTCATCAACTCCTGGAACAGGTCGGTGTCCTGTCAAAACACAGAATCTATTTTGTTTCTGCTTTCCTTAATGCGCAGTCACCATCACTGGTCAAGAGTGGTGCTCCAGACCCTTCCCCAGCTCGGCTGCCCTTGTCTGGACACACACAGCACCTCAATGTCTTTCTTGGGGGCCCAGAAATGAAGCCAGGATTGGAGGTGCTGCCTCACCAGGGCCCAGTGCAGAGGGATGATCCCTGTCCTGGTCCTGCTGGCCACACTGTTCCAGCATGTTCAGAAGGGTCCTAACTTGTGTAGGAACCCACGGCTTCTTGCGAAGCTTAAGCCTGCCTCTTGTTCCTCTCTGGCCTCTGTATCCAGCTGCTGGTGTTCAGAGGTCAAGGAGAAAACTATTGCTCGTCATAAGAGTTCCTGACACGCTTTCAGACTTACTGGATTGACTTACTGTTGGCCTGTGTCTGCAGTGAAATGTCCATCACACTCTTCCATATGCAACTGAATTGCTTGATACTGAATTTATTTCTACTATAGGCTCTTCAGCTTATCTGTTTTGCCAGAGTAATTTGTTAAACAAGGCCATTTCAATTTAACAGCTTCAAGGATGTTCAGTCCGGCAAGTGTTGGGCAGCCTCGGAAGATGCCTCTATCCTCTGCTCAGCTGGATCCTTTTATACTCAGGGTGCTGCCCTGACTTCCAAGGATCAACTGGATGCCACGTGGGTGACTGTATTTGGGTAAGTTGATTTCCAGAGTATCAGACAAACCGTGGGTGAACTCTCTGCGCCGTATGCACAGAAGTACTTGGGCTGTTGTCTGGCGTTCCTGGGTTCTGCAGGAGATGCAACTGTGGTGAAAGCCAGCAAAGGCAGCGATTTTAGCGAAGCGCCTCACCTTCAGCTACGCGCTCCTCATTTTTGTTGTTGTTAGAAAGGCAACATTCTACCGCTGAGGTGTGTGCTGAAGTAAAAATGCGTGGAAGATAATATTCCTCAAGTCGCTGCTTCTGAAACGTCACTAAGACACTGGTGTCTCCTGGATTTCTGGACACCCTTCCTAGGCTTGTATTTCAGCACCAGAATTCTTAAGCTGCTCAGAGTGATTTTTGGAGTTTTTTTTCTGTCTTTCAGGTTTACTCAGGCATCAGCGTCATATATTCTTCTACAGTTTGCTCAGTATGGGAACATACTAAAGCATGTGATATGTCTTACTTGGACACTTTTTTCTGAAAACAGTCTGCTTCCTTCTTTAAAAGGCTAAATGTCACCATTGTCACTTATTCTCATGCAGATGTCCAACAGAGGCAACTGGATGCATATCCAGATCAGTCCAAGCTTCAACGCCAGAGAGCCTCGAGCAAAGACGGAAAGATTTTTGGTGGCTCCATCATGATTGGTGTCAAGCCGTGTATAGACAGAGTAAGTGAACAGCTGCTTTTCTTTACATCCAAGGCCTTCTGCTTTTGGGCTCCCTCTTTATTTTCCCTGACCTCTTCCACTGTTTTCTCTTTGATTTGCAAAGCATAGCTAGTTCCATTCTGTAGGGACAGTTTCTTATACCTTACC